TTTTTTTATTCGTTTATCCAGTTTTGCAGCTTGACAAAATAGACTTCTCCCGCACTTAAGAATGGTCACCATTTTTGTCATTTTTTACATTTGAAAATCGGACTTTGAGGTGAGGAAGTAAATAAAATTCTCAAATCTTTTTTTTTTCTTCAGTTTTTTTGGGTAAAAACACTTTCCTTGTTATTTTATAATAACATAATTGTATTCCAATATGTCTTTATCCGATTTATCGTAGCATGGGATTTAATTTTGTTGAAGCTAGCAAGTTAATTAGAGGCTTCAAACTTACGGACCATTTAAATATATTTTATTTGCGATATAAAAATGTTTCTCATGAAATGACCTATCACTGAATTGTAATCAGAGCCACGTTTTTGATAATTCAACATAATATCCACGACCGCATCAATCGCGAATTTGTATTGGAGGACACAAAAATTCTCAAATTGAAATTGTTTTCCTGTTATTGTATGCAAATATGTTTTTCTCCGGGTAAAGCATATCATGACGAAGTTGAATATAACATGCCTTTCAGTTAAAACACTAATCAGTTGTAATGGGAACCACGTTTCCTTATGGGATGTAAATTTTCGCCACCCAAACTTTATGACATCAAACATGCAAGATTCGATAATTCTCCAAATGACAAAAATTGACTTTACCCTATCAGAACGGACTTAATTTAAACCAAGGGGAGTCAATAGGGGAGTTCCATCCCACCTAACCTCCCCCCCTCCGGTAACCCTACGGAGTTTTTATGATGACTTCACACGCGCAGATGTTTCTGGTCTTCTTGTGGAGAACTTGGAAAGACTTTCTGGAGGGCTGCAATAAAGTTTCTTGGGAAATATACTGACTTGATCACGACGAACAAAGAAAACCTTTTTCAGATTTTGGAGGACAAGTCTTATCTTGAGAGTATTTTGTCATTACGAAATGCCAAGCGATTCAGCAAATTATTCTGCAAGCATGGCTTTGCCGGTGAAGAAATTTTGGAAATTTGAGTCAGTCAAATAACCTTATAAACGGTAACTATAGGGTTTCAGTTTTTCAAGGGAAATTTGAAAGTCACAAAATGAAGGTATGCCAAATGAAGTCGCAGATAGCAAACGCGCTTTTGTTGTTTCACCAGGAGGAAGAAATTTGTTTGTATAGTGGTTATGACGGACTAACAAGCACAAGCGTTTTGTATATGATCATTGCCTCTGGCGCGGAAATGGAGGACAACCTCGTCCCAGGTTTAGACTCTTAAAATGGTTGATTGAATTGAATGATTGATTCATTGATTGACTGATTGATCGGTCGATCGATTGAGGGAACGGAGTGAAGGCTTCAAAGCTGGCTTTACTGTGGTCAATTAAGTGATCTAGATCATCTAGATCATGGGAGTCGACTTCCCGGGAAGGGGGTGGGGAGTTGTACTCCCAGAAAGATTGGGTAGGGGTGTGCGGCCCGCTTCCCAAAACCCTTACTCTATTTACGGCCCTATTTATGACCTATTTATGACCTGGCCAAAAATTCGATACCCCATTTATGCCCTGTTTCAGACCTGCATAACAATTAGTTACCTTGCCGACCGATGTTATAGGTATTTTGAAGGGCTTGTGTTGATGGCTTATGGATAATGATGAACAATAAGATTAGCTTCTTGTAAAAACATACACAGTTCAAGACTAGAGTGCAAAAACCATACCCTATTTATGACCAAAACGGCTGAAACCCCCTTCCCCCGGGGTCGATTTAAGACAATAGTTTCGCCCGATATTCTCTTGTTTTGCCGCAAAGTACCACTGAGGCATTTGCTCAGTCGAGTGAGACGAGAGTCAAAGTTGGGCTTAGATAAGTAAAGATTGTAGGGCTTCGCAGTGGATAAAACGATCAACGAATCTGGAGAAAAAAACTTTTCCCGCGTGTCTGTGATTTCACTCTCTAGTAATTACCATAAATCTCCAAGACGGTTTGTTGATGGTGCCACAGTAAGCAGGGCAAACAATAAAACTTCCATAAATTAAGTTTAAGGTGATAGGGATTGAAGGTGAGACTACCGAATTACTGAACAATAAGTTTGTGGCGTGGTTTGGAAAGCGAGTACAATTTTCCTTTTTCATCTGTCTTTTTGACCCGGGTTAAGTGTTGATATCAAATTTTCATTTTCATTCTAAGGCTTATTGTAAGAGTTCTCGACATATCTCTGCCCTATTCAAAGTTACTGAATGGCAATAAACGCAATAGCTTCACTTATGTATGAAGACAGAGCTTATATATACGTTCTGAACAGCTCAGCGCGGTTAAGTAACTGATTCCCAGGAGACCTCTCCCCTGTTCGCTGCTTCAATAGCTTCAAAGATGAATTGTGCGCTTAACTAATTAAAAAATCAACTGAAGTTCATGGGAGCCGGCCCAGCACAATAGTTTCTCTGCAAAGTAACACTCAGGGATTTGCTTTTTATATTAATTGAGTGAGATGAGAGCCACAAGATAGCTTTGGATTAGCAAATATTGGGAAGTTTCAAGCGGGAGGAATCAGTACATTCTTCACAGTGTAAAAAGGAGTCGGACGAATAATGGCTGTCGTATATATCTACTTCGGAAAAAGATCTTTCCCCAGTTTTGATGATTTCATACTCTCTTTTAAATTACCATGCATATTGAAGAGGTTTGTTCATCTTAGACCAGACAGTCCTCAGGGAATAACCAGGGCCAATTACTAAGCTTCCTTAACTTGAGTTGGAGACTATAATTGAGGCCACCGAAAACAGCAATTTATTGATCGCGCAGGTTTTGTGACAACCGGATCACTCCTCGATTAGTAGGTACGATTCTAGTCTTCTTTTTGGTTAAGTATTTGACTCAGGGAAAGCCTTGCTCTAAATTGTTTGTGTTTCTCCATCTTTTGGTCATTTCCGGCACCAGCCACCGAGGCTGTTGGATATCTGCAGATAATGTAAAGTCCTATACAAATGCTTCAAATTGGTGATGCAATCATGTAGAATACAGAAACAATATGAAGCAAGTTACCTCGTGTCATGAAGCAACTCAGGAATGCAACTGCAGAGGAAGACCCAAACTTCTTTTTGATTTCCTCTAAACGAGCTGTTCGCGTTTAGGATTTTTAAGCGACAAAAGACAGGCATTTACTTAAAATCGTCGAAATTAATGAATCCCGCGGTTTGGGAATATCTTCGAACTATTTGAAGCCAAATCGTGGAATCTCGATTTTTCGAACTCTCCACTTTTTTTTTCGAATCTTCCCGCTAATAACTCGAGCCAAAAGTTGTTTCTCTCCCCACAGTCGAACACTGTACTGTTTTACCCTCTTTTTCTCGAATTTCCCGATGTCTTAAGCTAATATAATATAATTTTGGCGCAAACTCCCAGCAATAATTTATAATTTTACATGTGAAATTACAAAATTGCCATGGCAACGTTTGGCGCCAAGTTTCTCGATACCATAAACAAGCCAAAAAAAAAATTATCGCCGAAAATGCGCGCCAAAATTACCGAATAATATATCACCCATGATATTAGAGTTAATCAAATGATATAAAAATTAAAGCTGAAATTTCGCCCCAGAATTGTGGAATAATTTGTCATCCATTATATTAGAAGTTTATCATATGGTATATATATATGAACACTAAAATTTCGCGCCAAAACGAAAAATAATTTGTCAACCATGATATTAGAAGTTAATCAAATGGTACATAAGTCAACGGTGTAATTTCGCGCCAAAATCAGGGAATAATTTGTCATCCATGATATTAGAAGGTAATCAAATGGTATATAAATTAACGCTGATATTATTAAACTTTTGGCAAAACGCGCGTGAAATTATTTCCTAATTTTACTCGTCACGTCACGTCCATGTTGTCACATTGAAAGAAAATTACTTCGTATTCTAATTTCCAAGCTCAAGAATATAATCTTTCAGCACTTTCAATACAGACACACCTTTCAAAACATAGCAAATCCTTTCGCCAGCTGAATTGTCTTAAGTGAAGAAAACAAAATGAAAAAGAGAAGCTCTGGGAATATCAGTAGCAAAAAGGAGAAAAAATATATTGACTTGTTCTACCTTTTGTTCGATTTTTGGCTTTCAAAGCAGACAGAAACTGATCGAACGCGAACATCTAAATATTGATGAATGCCCAAAATTCCAAAAGTTAAAAGAATTAATTAACTTTGACTCATTAACTTTCGCTAAGTAGTTCTCGTCTTTGTCAACGACTTCATAAAATTTTTCCCTTTGTTAAGTAGGTAATCTCCCAACAAAATTTGATTGACAGCCAAGGACAGCCCTGACGTGCTTGAATGTGGTTCTATAGTACCATTCCGTTCAACAGTACCATGCAGTCGAGCTTTTTCTACCTCTTTCATATTCAAAATTTACTAGTGGTGAACAATGAACTCAAGATCCAGTTAATTTATACGTTCTGAACAACCCTGACGCGCTCAACTGGACAACGTTATTGACTCTTTATGCCACACAACCTGACTCTCCCGTTAACAATTGAACTAGCTCCAAACACAATGACTATCAAGAATTAATTGAATGTTTAATAAAGTTAGGTGTAAGAAATTGAGTCAGCGGCACCCGCGCTATCCTGGTCAGTGGTACACTTGCAGGTTCACCCAGGAGACACGTGGAGACTGCTATATATAGACCGCAAAAACGACTCAGGGACTCGAAGCTTTGCCTCTGGTTCTCCCCCCCTCCCCGACACGCTTCCCATTCTGGGATGTCGACTCAGTTTTCTTGCAGCATCACCACTCGCGTGTGTGACCTCGCAAAAGTTAGCAAGCCAGCAGGTTAGCTCGTAGCTAGGCCCTGTATGTAGCTAAGGATTTCACAGAACTCCGTAGATGATTTAGTGGCATTCCGCCAAGGCATCTTTTATGGTATGAGGGATAAAAAAACTGTAATTTTTAGGGGGAGGGGGGTACTTCACGTCCGCAAAGGTGTCTGCACTAACAACAACAACAACAACAANACCTTTTGTTTGGTGGCGTTCTCGTTGCCTTCACCGTCATGGTTTACTTAAGCTCTCTATCGATTACGAGATTCGACGGTGAAATATACATTCATTTTTTTCTCGGGATCGCCGCCGTCATTGCTTGCTCCCTAATGAAGGTAGTGCGACTTGTAAGGCCATAAATTCCGTCTCATCAAGCTGTCAAATCTAGTTTATTGTTGCCCAAGATTGCGACCCCTCTGCTTAATTCTCTTCTTCGAAAAGAGGCTAAAGTCTGATTATTCATTGTATAAGAAAACAACTCGTCGACGTCATTTCTTCGCCTATTACAAACCAGTATCGACTTCAGCGCTCTTCGGTACTGCACGAGCCGCCAAGCGTAAATTAGTGGGTCAAGAGCAAACTTGAGAAATAACACATCGGATGCAATTAAGTTTGCAATCCGCAGCTTGAGGTTTCGAAAAGGGTTTTTGTTGTCCCAGTGAAGAAACAGGTAGGAGACGACAGCTGTGGGAACCGTGCAAGAAATGACAAACGTAAGCAATAAAAGGTTGACCACGGTGAATTGTCGCTCCCGCCTAGTTCCTCTTCGCCCCTGTTGTCTTGCTAAAGTGTTGTTTGATTTTAGCGAATGCAGTCGCCTCACCTGCCTTCTGAATGCCTTGTACAAGCAAAAATACGCGATAGCTAAGAAGAAAAGGCTGCCAGTTGTGTGAAAGTACAGATCGATTTTCCAAAACGTGGTCTTTGGCACTTTCATCAGGGGAAGCATGGCAAATGTGGTGGAGTAAAGCCAAGTTGAGATTACGCAACCCACAACTCGCTTCATAGTAACTAAGACCCTGTGTTTGTGAGGGAAGCTTATGGCGGTGAACTGGCTCCACGTGAAAAGCAACAAAATGATATACGAACTGTTCATAGTTGCCAGGGAGATGTGATGAGAGATTTTTGTTGCTTTTATCGTCCCTTGTAGCAAGGTAGAATCGCCGCTTCTCATAGCTGAATATAAAGCGATGAGGTGCAGGGCATATGTCGAGCATACCGCGAGACCTGTAAGAAAATCTGCAGCCGCTAAACCGATGATAAAAAAGGTGATAGGCGTTCGAAATGTTTTGAAAGGGTCTTTCCATATCGCCAGTAACAAAAGCCCGTTTCCAAATATTGTCAGCACAGAAACTACGGCCAGAAAGATTCCCGATGCGATGTCCACGCAGTAGTAAGTGTCCACAAGTTGTTTCCAATCTTTCTGGATTCGCAAGTAGTTTTCATCACTGGAATTCATTTTAACGATAGAAAGAATTAAAAACTCTTTTCTTGTAGGCGATGTTGATCTATACAAAGTACCGACTGAAATGAAATGAAATATTTGCCGTTAAAAAGAAATCGAAAATTTCTTTAGAACATAATTTGCTATTACGACAGCTCACTTCTAATATGTGCAGGTGTGTTGGTTTAAGACGAAGGATGTCAAAGATATCGTTCACTTTTGTAGTGTCCGTTTGTGCGCTGACGACTTTTGCAGTGGTACCATATGTTTTCCTTTTGTCTGCTAAATAAATAACACGTAATTCACAGGAAACTTATAAAATGACTTATTTTCAGCTTCCGTATCAATTACTGGAGAGATTGGCTAGTTTTCGCGTTGAGTAATTAGTTTAACAAAAGTTCCATTGAAATTCCGGTTTGGGACAATAAAAAAACGATAAAATCTATCAAGTAAGCGGAACTTGGTGACAAGCAAACTCAATTGTTCGTATTTTGCTGTGTTCAAAATGACAACTTACGCTTGCAAAATGTTAGGTTTTGCCTTCATTTTATTGTTGGTTAAACAATCTCGAATATTTTTTTTTATTCGTTTATCCAGTTTTGCAGCTTGACAAAATAGACTTCTCCCGCACTTAAGAATGGTCACCATTTTTGTCATTTTTTACATTTGAAAATCGGACTTTGAGGTGAGGAAGTAAATAAAATTCTCAAATCTTTTTTTTTTCTTCAGTTTTTTTGGGTAAAAACACTTTCCTTGTTATTTTATAATAACATAATTGTATTCCAATATGTCTTTATCCGATTTATCGTAGCATGGGATTTAATTTTGTTGAAGCTAGCAAGTTAATTAGAGGCTTCAAACTTACGGACCATTTAAATATATTTTATTTGCGATATAAAAATGTTTCTCATGAAATGACCTATCACTGAATTGTAATCAGAGCCACGTTTTTGATAATTCAACATAATATCCACGACCGCATCAATCGCGAATTTGTATTGGAGGACACAAAAATTCTCAAATTGAAATTGTTTTCCTGTTATTGTATGCAAATATGTTTTTCTCCGGGTAAAGCATATCATGACGAAGTTGAATATAACATGCCTTTCAGTTAAAACACTAATCAGTTGTAATGGGAACCACGTTTCCTTATGGGATGTAAATTTTCGCCACCCAAACTTTATGACATCAAACATGCAAGATTCGATAATTCTCCAAATGACAAAAATTGACTTTACCCTATCAGAACGGACTTAATTTAAACCAAGGGGAGTCAATAGGGGAGTTCCATCCCACCTAACCTCCCCCCCTCCGGTAACCCTACGGAGTTTTTATGATGACTTCACACGCGCAGATGTTTCTGGTCTTCTTGTGGAGAACTTGGAAAGACTTTCTGGAGGGCTGCAATAAAGTTTCTTGGGAAATATACTGACTTGATCACGACGAACAAAGAAAACCTTTTTCAGATTTTGGAGGACAAGTCTTATCTTGAGAGTATTTTGTCATTACGAAATGCCAAGCGATTCAGCAAATTATTCTGCAAGCATGGCTTTGCCGGTGAAGAAATTTTGGAAATTTGAGTCAGTCAAATAACCTTATAAACGGTAACTATAGGGTTTCAGTTTTTCAAGGGAAATTTGAAAGTCACAAAATGAAGGTATGCCAAATGAAGTCGCAGATAGCAAACGCGCTTTTGTTGTTTCACCAGGAGGAAGAAATTTGTTTGTATAGTGGTTATGACGGACTAACAAGCACAAGCGTTTTGTATATGATCATTGCCTCTGGCGCGGAAATGGAGGACAACCTCGTCCCAGGTTTAGACTCTTAAAATGGTTGATTGAATTGAATGATTGATTCATTGATTGACTGATTGATCGGTCGATCGATTGAGGGAACGGAGTGAAGGCTTCAAAGCTGGCTTTACTGTGGTCAATTAAGTGATCTAGATCATCTAGATCATGGGAGTCGACTTCCCGGGAAGGGGGTGGGGAGTTGTACTCCCAGAAAGATTGGGTAGGGGTGTGCGGCCCGCTTCCCAAAACCCTTACTCTATTTACGGCCCTATTTATGACCTATTTATGACCTGGCCAAAAATTCGATACCCCATTTATGCCCTGTTTCAGACCTGCATAACAATTAGTTACCTTGCCGACCGATGTTATAGGTATTTTGAAGGGCTTGTGTTGATGGCTTATGGATAATGATGAACAATAAGATTAGCTTCTTGTAAAAACATACACAGTTCAAGACTAGAGTGCAAAAACCATACCCTATTTATGACCAAAACGGCTGAAACCCCCTTCCCCCGGGGTCGATTTAAGACAATAGTTTCGCCCGATATTCTCTTGTTTTGCCGCAAAGTACCACTGAGGCATTTGCTCAGTCGAGTGAGACGAGAGTCAAAGTTGGGCTTAGATAAGTAAAGATTGTAGGGCTTCGCAGTGGATAAAACGATCAACGAATCTGGAGAAAAAAACTTTTCCCGCGTGTCTGTGATTTCACTCTCTAGTAATTACCATAAATCTCCAAGACGGTTTGTTGATGGTGCCACAGTAAGCAGGGCAAACAATAAAACTTCCATAAATTAAGTTTAAGGTGATAGGGATTGAAGGTGAGACTACCGAATTACTGAACAATAAGTTTGTGGCGTGGTTTGGAAAGCGAGTACAATTTTCCTTTTTCATCTGTCTTTTTGACCCGGGTTAAGTGTTGATATCAAATTTTCATTTTCATTCTAAGGCTTATTGTAAGAGTTCTCGACATATCTCTGCCCTATTCAAAGTTACTGAATGGCAATAAACGCAATAGCTTCACTTATGTATGAAGACAGAGCTTATATATACGTTCTGAACAGCTCAGCGCGGTTAAGTAACTGATTCCCAGGAGACCTCTCCCCTGTTCGCTGCTTCAATAGCTTCAAAGATGAATTGTGCGCTTAACTAATTAAAAAATCAACTGAAGTTCATGGGAGCCGGCCCAGCACAATAGTTTCTCTGCAAAGTAACACTCAGGGATTTGCTTTTTATATTAATTGAGTGAGATGAGAGCCACAAGATAGCTTTGGATTAGCAAATATTGGGAAGTTTCAAGCGGGAGGAATCAGTACATTCTTCACAGTGTAAAAAGGAGTCGGACGAATAATGGCTGTCGTATATATCTACTTCGGAAAAAGATCTTTCCCCAGTTTTGATGATTTCATACTCTCTTTTAAATTACCATGCATATTGAAGAGGTTTGTTCATCTTAGACCAGACAGTCCTCAGGGAATAACCAGGGCCAATTACTAAGCTTCCTTAACTTGAGTTGGAGACTATAATTGAGGCCACCGAAAACAGCAATTTATTGATCGCGCAGGTTTTGTGACAACCGGATCACTCCTCGATTAGTAGGTACGATTCTAGTCTTCTTTTTGGTTAAGTATTTGACTCAGGGAAAGCCTTGCTCTAAATTGTTTGTGTTTCTCCATCTTTTGGTCATTTCCGGCACCAGCCACCGAGGCTGTTGGATATCTGCAGATAATGTAAAGTCCTATACAAATGCTTCAAATTGGTGATGCAATCATGTAGAATACAGAAACAATATGAAGCAAGTTACCTCGTGTCATGAAGCAACTCAGGAATGCAACTGCAGAGGAAGACCCAAACTTCTTTTTGATTTCCTCTAAACGAGCTGTTCGCGTTTAGGATTTTTAAGCGACAAAAGACAGGCATTTACTTAAAATCGTCGAAATTAATGAATCCCGCGGTTTGGGAATATCTTCGAACTATTTGAAGCCAAATCGTGGAATCTCGATTTTTCGAACTCTCCACTTTTTTTTTCGAATCTTCCCGCTAATAACTCGAGCCAAAAGTTGTTTCTCTCCCCACAGTCGAACACTGTACTGTTTTACCCTCTTTTTCTCGAATTTCCCGATGTCTTAAGCTAATATAATATAATTTTGGCGCAAACTCCCAGCAATAATTTATAATTTTACATGTGAAATTACAAAATTGCCATGGCAACGTTTGGCGCCAAGTTTCTCGATACCATAAACAAGCCAAAAAAAAAATTATCGCCGAAAATGCGCGCCAAAATTACCGAATAATATATCACCCATGATATTAGAGTTAATCAAATGATATAAAAATTAAAGCTGAAATTTCGCCCCAGAATTGTGGAATAATTTGTCATCCATTATATTAGAAGTTTATCATATGGTATATATATATGAACACTAAAATTTCGCGCCAAAACGAAAAATAATTTGTCAACCATGATATTAGAAGTTAATCAAATGGTACATAAGTCAACGGTGTAATTTCGCGCCAAAATCAGGGAATAATTTGTCATCCATGATATTAGAAGGTAATCAAATGGTATATAAATTAACGCTGATATTATTAAACTTTTGGCAAAACGCGCGTGAAATTATTTCCTAATTTTACTCGTCACGTCACGTCCATGTTGTCACATTGAAAGAAAATTACTTCGTATTCTAATTTCCAAGCTCAAGAATATAATCTTTCAGCACTTTCAATACAGACACACCTTTCAAAACATAGCAAATCCTTTCGCCAGCTGAATTGTCTTCAGTGAAGAAAACAAAATGCAAAAGAGAAGCTCTGGGAATATCAGTAGCAAAAAGGAGAAAAAATATATTGACTTGTTCTACCTTTTGTTCGATTTTTGGCTTTCAAAGCAGACAGAAACTGATCGAACGCGAACATCTAAATATTGATGAATGCCCAAAATTCCAAAAGTTAAAAGAATTAATTAACTTTGACTCATTAACTTTCGCTAAGTAGTTCTCGTCTTTGTCAACGACTTCATAAAATTTTTCCCTTTGTTAAGTAGGTAATCTCCCAACAAAATTTGATTGACAGCCAAGGACAGCCCTGACGTGCTTGAATGTGGTTCTATAGTACCATTCCGTTCAACAGTACCATGCAGTCGAGCTTTTTCTACCTCTTTCATATTCAAAATTTACTAGTGGTGAACAATGAACTCAAGATCCAGTTAATTTATACGTTCTGAACAACCCTGACGCGCTCAACTGGACAACGTTATTGACTCTTTATGCCACACAACCTGACTCTCCCGTTAACAATTGAACTAGCTCCAAACACAATGACTATCAAGAATTAATTGAATGTTTAATAAAGTTAGGTGTAAGAAATTGAGTCAGCGGCACCCGCGCTATCCTGGTCAGTGGTACACTTGCAGGTTCACCCAGGAGACACGTGGAGACTGCTATATATAGACCGCAAAAACGACTCAGGGACTCGAAGCTTTGCCTCTGGTTCTCCCCCCCTCCCCGACACGCTTCCCATTCTGGGATGTCGACTCAGTTTTCTTGCAGCATCACCACTCGCGTGTGTGACCTCGCAAAAGTTAGCAAGCCAGCAGGTTAGCTCGTAGCTAGGCCCTGTATGTAGCTAAGGATTTCACAGAACTCCGTAGATGATTTAGTGGCATTCCGCCAAGGCATCTTTTATGGTATGAGGGATAAAAAAACTGTAATTTTTAGGGGGAGGGGGGTACTTCACGTCCGCAAAGGTGTCTGCACTAACAACAACAACAACAACAACAACAAAAAAAAAACCACAATTACTTGACCCAAACAAATACAAGACGACAGAAATGATCGATTTTGCGGTATTTGCGTCTAGATTCCCGAAATATTCATAAAGTACCGGGCAGATTAGATAGCTAACTGCACAATTTAAAAGAATTAGGCAGATAAGTTTGAAAATAGCCATATAATAAAATACCATAGTTAAAGCCGACAGTGTTCAAAGTACTAATATTTAGGCTCTTACCGATAGTGCAACAGAACAGACTGACAGAACAGACTGACAGAACAAAACAGAACAGACTGACAGAGCAAAACACAACACAAGGCAACACAATGCAACGCGACGCAACGCAAAGCAACGCAGCGCCACGCAACCCAAAACAACCCAGCACTGCACAGCACAGCATAGTACAGCCGACAGTACAGCATAGCACAGCATAGCAAACCACAACACAACACAACACTACACAACACAACACAACACAACACAACACAACACAACACAACACAACACAACACAACACAACACAACACAACACAACACAACACAACACAACACAACACAACACAACACAACATAACACAACACAACACAACACAACACAACACAACACAACACAACACAACACGACACAGCACAACAAAACAAAACACAACTCCTCGTTCTCTTGTCTTACAGCAGTGGTTGGCAGGGATCTCTGTAAACAAACTGTGCCAGTGGGAGAAGGAATTAGCTTTATGACAAGATCATGTGTTTACAATGGTTGCTTCGGTTGCTACTCAACCCACGTCAGCGACGAACTGGATCAAGACTGTAGGGATTATTACAAGAACGTTAACAACGTGTGGCAAAGTTATAAGTGTTGTATTTACACACCTGATCAATGCCCAAAGGTGAGTTGAAGATTTTTTTGAGCTGTTCTGTTGAAGTTGAAATGTGTTGTCATTAAAGTTGTGTACATTATTTATCGTGGTGTAAGATAGGATAGATGAATTTTTCACTCGTTTGTCTCACGATGGAGTCACATCTCAAAGTGACTCCATCGTAAGACAAATTAAACGATCGAGTGAAAAATTCGTCTATTCTGGAATGTGTCGCTTCTAGTAAGTTCGTAATTTTTTAACAACACTTGAAGAAAAAAAAAATGAAACATTACCATTGAAATGCTAGAATTTAGAGCAACAATTAAGCCAGAACGTTTTGACAAGTGATATCAAAACAATCTTGTTATGAAGCTTGTGTGTTCAGTTAGGATAGATATAAACCAATTTTCATATATTAAAATTCAGTTTGATAGTGAGGCCTTGAGGACACAAACAAAAGAAATGAATAAACTTGGTCATTCAATTTCCTTTGTTTGTGTCCTCTAAGCCTCACTACCAACCTCAATTTTAATATATCGAAAATGGTCTTTTGTGTCCCTCGGATTTCGAGCCTCAAAATGAGCACCTATCCCAGATTACCTAGGGAGCCCAGAGAGCGTCTACGTATGTAGAACTCAGGGGGAAGAAAAAATCGATCAAAATCGATAAACTGACTCTATCCAAATGTGACGGTATCATTTTTATCCACGACCCATGTGAAATCATTCTTGACTTCTTTTTTGTCCCCTAACTGCACTTAAATTTGCTGTTGTATGATCGAAGCATCTTCGGATCTTCTTCGGAAGTCTTCGGCAATCTTCTTACATTTCTGGACAATGTACGGAAACGTTCGTCTGGCTTTCGGACAACTTTTGGAGAATTTTTGGAAATCTTGAGAAAGTGGTCGAAAATCTTCGGAAAATCGCCAAGAACGCCGTTATTTATGTATAATAAAGAGAAAATTAGGTGGTCCTTGGAGATACGAAATTTCTCTTTTCATGTTGGAAAAATATTTCGCGAGTGAGCTCGTGAAGGATAAGTTTACAACACTCGATCGAAGAGAAATTTCGTGTCTCCGTGCGGCCATGTACGTAATATCCTCTATATCATAATCAGTATATTCCGTGTTTCCTTTCTTGTTTTCTTTTGTTAGGTAAAAGGCCCACATTATCGTGACAACCCACTCAAACGCTACTTGGACACTGCAAGCCGTCAACAGCAATACGAAGACTAGGGTCAGCGGTTCTCGCATTTGTTCATCACGCGATGTCATTTATTGAAAACACATGAAAACTCAGTCACACAATTTATAGCACTTGTGAAACTCGAAACTGTAAAGGCTTGAAATGAAGTTACCAAAAATCACATTTAAAAAAAAAAAAATTCTTTGGTAACTTATTATTTTCCAATGAATAGGTTCGATCCTGGTTTTTATCCTTCATGAATCATTTCACAGGGTTTGTACTATGTTAATGCAATGAGACACTGTTTTGAGCTAAACACAGGAAATAAAATAAAACTGTAATGTGCTTGATGTCTAATGATGTTGTTTTCTTTCTGAATTAAAGGAAAAGGAGACTAAAAAGCGTTGGTAAAAAGAATTCAAAGAAATTCATCATGATGATATTCGCTGAAAGTCATCACGGTGATTTGAAATGCCTAACGTGCGAGTGTTACGATGTACATTGCATTAATATTGCAAAAACCATATAGTTATGGCCCGCCTCCCCCCCCTCTCGGGGGCAAAGTTTGCTTTCGTTCCAGTCCGGCCACCTTAACATAAACAACCATTTCAGCGGGTGCTGGTTTTTGATGAAACTCTCGGGCAGGGAATTTCAAAGATGTTTCATTAGTTAAAGGCCTGTCCAAACGGTAAATGTTTGGCGAACAAACATCATCAAACATTGTTCGGTGACCAAACATGCTGATGTTGAAGTGAGTGGCCAAACAGTTTTAAAAAACATGGTTGATCAAACACAGATCAAACTATGGATACAAGCCGCTGAGCGAGAGTGTGACGCATGCGCGCGCCAAACATGTTTGATACGGCTGTCCAAACGAACGAAACATCTCCCATCAAACACTAGAACAAAAGAAATGTTTTAAGTTGTTTGATCGAGCGTTTGATGGCCTTCAAATTTTTTCAAACACGACCAAACACGATCAAACACGATCAAAGAACACCAGACAAGGTGGCCAAACGGTAAAATGTTTGGTCACCAAGCAATGTTTGATGCATAGCTAGCACTCGTAAAAGATAACATGTGGCCCCAGAACGCTGCGTGTTTGGAACATTTGTATAATGAAACGTACATCAACTTGCTCCTTAACATTGATGCAATACATCCATTGTTGTCTTTCTCGCTTAACTTTCTCCCCTCCCTATTTTTCTGTTCTCCCAAAGCGTCTGGTGAATGGTTCAAATATGAACGTTTCTGAAAGCAGATAATTTCAGGAATTATGGGGTTTATTGAAGGTCCTCCTGCACCTAAACGAATACGGTGACCCCCCTGTTTTTTGTTTCAAATTTTAAGTTCTCTTGATATAAGCAGCCAACAGGTAAAGTTTGAAAGCAAATCTATTGTGAGTTCTATTTCGATGGAATTACCTTAAAGTCTGACTTTCCTTGCATTGCGCATCCCTACTGCGCACGATCTTCGCGTCATTTGCGTGCGCAAACGAGCGCGTGTACATACACAACATTCAAGCTAAGCTCGACAGCGAAGTAAATGCTCGTTTTCTCTTAGACGAGCGTGGTGACCTATATTTTTTGTTCTATAATTTTGGAGTACAAATTATTACCTTTAAGTTAACTTTTTCAAATAAAATTGAATAGACATGTACTACGAATGCTGCGGCGATCAGTTCCAGATAGAAACATGAAAAATTAGCCCTCGGTAGTGGATCACGTTCCCCCAAAAAATTAGAAGTTGTTCATTACTCGTTGTTGATTTGGAAAGGACGGCTACGAAATGTACAAAGGTGCACAATGCACGTGAGAATCCATTGTTCTCCTCATTAAACCTTTTGTTTGGCGAAGTTCTCGTTGTCGTTACCGTCGTGCTTTGCGTAAGGTCTCTGTTTACCTTAAGGAAACGAAAACTTAAATTAAAGTTTACTCGGGCAAAATATAAAAAAAAAAACTATAAAGATTGAGTGGATGTGACCTGTTTTGCACAGCAACCTCGAACAGACGTCACGCACGCTACCCGTCCGATCATCCGCCAGTTTTAGGAAGTCCTGGGGACGAAATTGGTAAAACAATTCCAACCCAGTCTTCTCAACGCAAAGAATATACCCCGTTGCACGTGCACTAGAATTACCCACTTGCCCGTCATTGCCTTTACATGCCATTATGTCTACGCAAGAAGTCCGGGAAGAGGCCTTAGTGAATATAAGGTGCATCGTCAAAGGCTATCATCTTTGCGGTTTTGAGGTGAACGTCGGTGAAGTGTTTACTGCTAACAAGGAAAGGAGAGAACGCGGAAATGCGCTTCATGTTGATTGAAGTCCTAATGAAGTCCTCTGCCAGTCCTCTGTCAAAGCTCACCGGATGTTCCTAATTTACTTTATGCAACCGGAAATTTAACAAACGGAGCATCATGTGACGGTATGAGTTGCTAAAAACACCCTCAAATGAAGAAAACGAGTACTCACCGGGTCGGAAATTCACGCTGAACCGAGGGTTCAGGGCAATCATGAGTCAGCGAGTGGTTCGTCATTCTGGGCATTTACTAACAGCAGCTTTTGTCATTAATCGTATCTATAACAAAATTCTCGATCATGATTGGTTCCCCGCACGCCCATTTGTTACGTAATCGGTGCGCGATCATGTGGATGTCCAATTAAAGGTATCCAATTACAATTATTTTGTAATTGGTTACCTGAAATTGGATACTACGCCATTCATTACGTCAATTACGCGCCCTTTAATAGCTTTCTTCTTGGTGTTTCCTACAGTTTTTAATTAAAACTTTTGGAAAGCGCTACTGACTTTTTCGCTCAAAAGAGGTTCTTTAGACACGATTATTTGGTAATTGGACCATCGGCCTCAAGCTTCGCGCTCGTCCGATTTTGATATTACTTATGCGATTACTTCCTGAATGGTACTTCACTCGGTCCAATTACCATTATAGTTGTGACCCAAACAATATGTTTTCATTTTAGTGCGATCTGTGAGACATATTACAATTACACTCCTTTTTCGTATAACCTTTCACTCGTGTCAGCCCCTAAGGCGCTAACTGTTAATACCTATTTTCCATCTTTTGGGATCGGAATCTTTCCATTTATAGCATAAATCGACCCAAAACACCGGCCCATGATGTCGAAGGTTTTGATAACGAATGTTCCCCCCATGATCGGGGAAATGACTGAGAATTCTTGTGTGTCGCAAGTCACTCGCTTAGTTGCTGCTGCTGATGTTTATTTTATTTTTATTTTTATTTTTTGATTTGCCACAAAAACAAAAATTATAGAATTACAGTACAATGATTAGCCTTGTCTTATTATTAGTCACGGAAAGGAGAAAAATTGCAAGCCAGAAAATTAGTAAAATTGCTGCTAGTCGAATTTTAACCTCGTTCCAAGGGGCTGTCTTCTTTCCGCCCTGGAGCGGGAGAGAGCGGAGCGGCTCCAAGGGGCGGAAAAAAGAGAGACCCTGGGAACTAGGTTGGTGGGGTTACTGCAAGCGTGTCCTCGCCCCCTACCCTCCCCACCCCTCGTTCACCTCTCAACACATGGATAACAATATTACGGCCACAAAAGACACTTCTTACACTTTTCATGTAGGAAAACTTTAGATCAATGAATAATTACACCGGAAAACAGCCATTAAGGAGTTAAAGTATATTTTATCAACGTCAACGCCCTAAATAGCCAATTTTTTATTGAATTTCCCACAAAGTTCTACTGCTCACCTAATTCTCATTGAATTGAATCCCGCACCAAAAGAAAACTCTCAGCTCTCCGTTGTATGCTTCACATAATTACAAAACATATTCAAAAATTATAAAAGCAAAATATCTCTAGGATCAAAGAATGACAGCAGGAGAAAATACCTTGAAGTCCAAGTTTGGCGACTTGTCACAATATGGCGGGCTGTCGAACTGTCAAACTGCAAAGCAAGCTGGGAAGTCGTATGAAGCTTGCGAGTTACCCATGTGAGTTCGTGACAGATATAATATAGAGACCAAACCTTCAGGTGAAATTTACTGTCTCGAGAATGATAGAATTCAGAAACATAATCCTGTGGGTGGGTCAAGCATCAAACGACATTTTTTCAGAGAAGATGCAGAAAAACGGAGATAATAGGGAGTTTAAGTAACCACGATGGCCACGTCGAGGACAAAGTCGATTTAAAAGTGATTTTATATTTTACCTCCAAATCTCGCAATACTCTTAAGTCATTTACTTTGTTTATTACTGTTAAAACTATCATGAAACAGAATCTGGCACCCAGTGATAAATTTGAAATACAAATTAAAAAAGTCAGCGTTGTGGTTCACGTTCTCCAGACAACGCAGAATTTGGTCATTTCACGTTTTTGTTTTGCAGAGGACGGCAAAAAAATCTACCACGATTGACAAAGCACGTGCACAGCCATTATTCTGCTCATTAAACCTTTTGTTTAGCGACGCTCCCGTCGCCGTTCCCGTCGGTGTTAAACTCCCTAATAAGCCGTCCCCGGAAAAAACCCTCCCCGCCCCAACCAAATCTGTCTTGTCCGACCCTGCCTCCCCTCCCGTCCTACGCCGACCACAGTCAATCAGCCCCCAAACCACCTTGAGCTCTCATGAACGAAATGACTCAGGAATTCTTGTAATTGTTGGTTTACATTAAAAAAAAAAAAAAAACAGTCGTAACCGTTAAAAAAATTAAGTAAAAAATCTAGGATATGACAGATGATTGATACATAGATTTAGTTCTGTGTGGTTTTTCGCGCGTTATTCAGAGAAGTGTTTCACACAAATGTACACACCTTTGCTTGGAGAAGCCATGTTTTTGACCGAGTGGCACCAACAACAGAAGCATCTGCCATCGAGTTTTGCCACTAAAACGACGTTATTTCTCTAGAGCTCTCACAGGTTGTTTCAGTAAGCTCTGGAACCTTCTGCAATATGCTTGACCCCCTTCCTTCCCCCCACCTTTTCTACCCCTATTTCTTTGCCTGCCTATGGGACCCTAGTCCCTCGACCCCATATAACGTGGCAAGCACGTCATATATCAAAATTACCGCATGGGAAGAGTGAAAACCAGCTAAAACTTTGAGCATGAGAGTTAAATATATTTCAAATATTGCAGAACGAAAACCTTGAGGGTAGAGTGGGGTGGGGGCGCTACCGCTTGCAACCTAATCTCTAACAAAAGTCATACAAAATGATTAGACGTTATTATAAATTCATGCGCAGGTCCATTCTGCATTGCGAGTGTCACTGTCGTCATTACAATAGAAAAAACTAGAAGACAAATGAATGGGATACATGTTATTATCCAATATTTTATTTACAGTATCTATTATTTTATTTTTGTACAATTTAGC